CCCTGATGGACAAGATAAGGGAGGCAAAATTGAGATGGGCCGGGCTTGTTAAGAGGAGAGACACGAATGCCCTAGTGAGGAGATGTGAGAGGTTGACAATGGTGGGTATCGGAAGAGGTAAAGGTAGCTGAAGAAGTATTGGGAAGAGGTGATTAGAGAAGACATGGCACACCTGCAGCTTACTGAGGAGATGACCCTGTATAGGAGGATATGGAGGTCGAAGATCTAGGTAGTAGGTAGTGGAACGTCGTCTGGTTCCCTTATCAGTATTGCTGTTATTACTCTTATACTAATTTATTCTTCAATTTTATTATTACCTTGTTGTGTCCTTACCGTATTATTTGTTGTCGCGACTACTCTCTTCTTATTTTATTTTTAGCTATCTTCTTCACTTTTTGTGTTTTCTTTTTCGGTACTCGATTTTTGATATGTTTTACTTGAGTTGAGGGTCTAGCGTAAACAACCTCTCTAACTTCACATGGTAGGGGTAAGGCTGCTGGCTGCGTACACACTGCTCTTACCAAATGCCGCTTGTGGGACTACACTAGTGTTTTTGTTGTTTAACAATATTTTCTTGTTGGCTGGTTCATCTTGGTTTTCCAGTACTTTTTCATTGTGAGAAAATATTAGTATATTGTTAATTACTTGTTACCCTCTCCCTCTTCCCTGTGTATGTGTGTCTCATACATGTGCATTTTTCTTAAAAGTAGAGAGCCAACCATCTGATCAATTCAGGGGAGATGGAGTGGGTGACCAAATCTCCTTGCTCGATGCATTAGATGAAGACTTAATTTCAGACACTGTTGGGGTTATCTGTCTCGATTCGAAAGGACATATGGCTTGTGGAAGCTCTAGCGGTGGGATAGCACTGAAGGTGATAAAACTAGAAATGTTTTTTAATTTCTATCTAATTGTGTAATAAATTTGAGGGTCTTGCGGTAGGTGTTTCTCTGCCCAACCTCTGATCTTTTCTTGTATACATGTGCATGTTGTGAATGAATTTAATACACTTGAAGGTTTCAAAATCTGAAGGATTGTGACTAGTGCAGTTTTATCTGGGTGTTAGTTACTTCAATTGGTGGTGGTGGGTGTCTTGAATTCAGGCTTTAAATTTATGTGATGAAGATTATGAATTCAAGATTATCCTCAGTTCTTTTATCAGTAAGATTATCGTAAGTTATAATTAGAGCCTGAATATGGCTGACACTGTTGTTTGGGCCTGGAAAGTAGAAAATTCTCATTCTGTCATAATATAAGTTGAAGTTCGTTATTGACACAACTGCAATTCTTGAAAAGGGGTGTTGCATTTGTCAATGCACATGCCTTTTGGGAAAGAACCAGCTATCCCTATTGATTTCTTGGTAATTCTAACAAGACAGAATTGTCTGTTGGTTAACATTTTCAGGCAGTCTCTTCTCCTTCTGTGTTGAATTTTAAAGGTCTTCTCTATCTAAGGACTTTCATCAAAGAACAAACACAAGTTTTGGTCAAACAACATATACAATGTCCCACCCTCAAGCTAATTGGTGTATCCTCTAGAAAAATGGAGGAAGAAAGATACAGTTCACCCTTATTAATATATATAAGAGTTGACAGTGGTGGATAGTGAACGTAGGGCCGTGGAAGCTAAGTGCTAACAACAATGAGATCCTTGAAGTTCTTTATTTCTATCTAGATGGTGCACATATTTTCCAATCTTCTATATCTCCACTGCTTCTATTACTATTAGAACTTCTTAGTACTGTTTAGAAGGTATTACTGTGTGTAAATTACAGATATTGCTGTGGGAACAAGTATAATATACACATATTTTCCCATCTTGTATACTTCCGCTGCTTCTATTAAACTTCTCAGTATTGTTTACATGTTATTATTGTGTATACTTAGCCTTATGATTTCGCTGGATATTGAGAAACTTTACAATGCTCAATTGTTTGTGGCCTGAATTCTTCCTTTTGGTTTGATATGACCAGTTGTCCTTATCATGTTCATCCTTTAAATGATCGTTTTCTCTGACCCTCCTCTCATTTCTTCTTCATAGTTCTTCTGCATATCCTTTTCCTGCACTTGATTCTCTGCTCATAATGGACAGCTTGGAAGGCTTATATATACTGTCTTTAAAGCACCATTTAACTGAATATTGAAAAACTAATATATTATTGAAGGAAGCAGAAGTTGTATCACAGTGTTGGTTTCGTCCAAGATGTTTGCTTCTGGTTGAGCTTTGGTTTCTCTTTTCCTTGCACTATTCGTACAAACTACTTGGAGTGTACAGTTTTCTTGCTTTCACTGTCTATTATTTTCTTTTGCCTTCTAATTTTTGTGAAACTTTCCCTTGTTCCAAATTTTATTGTATTTGCAAGAGCAGAGGTCTTTTCTTCTTTCTTATATTGAGTTGATAAGTTCTTTGGATTGCTTATTTCAATCTTTGAACTTATAACAGATAAGTGGGCGCGTAGGTCTAGCAGCGATGTATGGTTCCGGTTGTTGGGCATCGTCAAGGGGACCTTTTGGAGCTCCATTTATGGTGGGATGCTGTGTCAGTGGTGCTGGAGAGTACCTAATGAAAGGATTTGCTGCTCGGGAATGCTGTATCTCATCATCACTGTATGCTTTCCATGTCTCTGAGATACCTGCTTTCCCATTTGTCCAAGTTACCTTTTCTCCTTATTATTAGTTATGGACAATATAGTTGTTGAAGTCCTATATCGTGGACAAAATTTTACCTGCAAAATCCATGAATTTTACTGAAAATTAGTGTTGATTGTTAAATTTGTGAACTTGAACAAACATATATTCCATCTCGCTTTTTGCGCTTGAAATTTTGTACTTGCATGTTTCTTTCTGCAGGTCTCAAGCTGGTCCATCTTCTGCATGTAAAAAGGTTTTGCAAACTATTAAAGAAAATAGCCAATGCAGTGTTGACCGAAGTGCTGGATTCCTTCTAGTTCAAGCAGAGCCTCCAAGACTGGTAAGACTATTCCAGTGTTCCCTTATCTTTCTCTTTTCTCATGCTTTTTATCTGTAAGGAAATCCATTGTCCATAGGTTGGGGGCAGTTTGGCTAGGCTGGAAGCTGTTGAGGTTGCAGCTGTATATTCTTCCTCGTCCTTTGGAATAGGTTATTTTGGCAGCTCTATGGATATACCCAAGGTATCATATGTCTGCATTTTCTCACGTTTTATGCAACATTCGATGATTTCTGTGTTTAAACTGATGGCACCTCAAGTTAAATAATTCTCTCTATCTTTCTTTCTGTGTGTGTGTGTGTTTGGGAGGGGAGTAAAGGCAGGAGCATCTGCATGACAATGGACAATGTTGCTTTAATGACATATAAGATTAATTAGGAGGAAGTTGGCTTATGGTCAAAGTTGATCACCGAAAATATTGATAGCTTATTTACTTTGTCATTGTTCATATTCTTGTTTCATTTTAGGAGAATCCCATCCATTAGACTAATATCTGCTTAATTGTTGGAGAATATGAGAGATTAATTATTCATATATACTTTTTTGAGTTATACAATACTTTGGCTTTTATCAAAATTCGTTAGTAATAAGACCAGCTGCCAATCTTCAAGCTTAATCAATTGAACCTAGAGAACTAAAGCTCGAGCCTTAAACTTGGTAATGAGATTCAAAGATGATAATATTCCTGTTTGTTCGCTTATCATATAATGATTTGCATATAAATCATTATAATTGATTAGTTAAAAAGGAAAAATAGCCATTGCTTTAATCTAGCTTTTGTGTTGATATGCTGAGGAGAAGGCTTTCAATATTGCAGATCTCACACAACTTGTGCTGATTCTGTTCTTTAACATACTATTTTTGACTGCTGCTGCTGCTGCAAAATGTCACTGCATGAGTTATCATTCAACATCAACTTCAACCATCAATGTTGTTATCGTTGTGATCTTCTACAGGTTTCAGTGCTTAGGAGTAAAAAACAGCAAAATAAAGCTGGAATTGATGAGTTTGCTGCACGGATTAATCTCGTCTCCAAGGAACAGTAGTGTTGCAGCAGGAGTTGTCAATTCGACAAAAGACTTGCCATTTCAATGGCATCCATCATCAGTTGAACTAATCATCCAAGATACGTCTGAGACCAATAGACTTGCAGTTGAAGGAACGTAGTTGAGCCAAAAGCTAAGAGAGGAATAACTCAAGTTTTTATTTCATATGGAAAAGGGTCTCCTTTTGGGATGAAGAGTTAATGAGGTTTGCCTCATTTACACAAAAAGCTAAAAAAATACTTGATTTGACATTTGTAATCTGGTTGTGTTGTTGCAAAGAAGAGAGAAAATTTGCCAAATAATGGGCAATGGTTTTGACAGGAGAAAGAAATGTTTATTTAACTTAGTTGTCCATTTTTGAAAAGTGGAAAAAAATGTTGAATTTTAAGTAATAATTATTGAAAGCTGAAGGACACAATCATAAATTATTTAGCTTACACATAGGCCCCTGGATATAGAAGTCAAAGTTCTACCCAAGAAATGAACCTTAGTTTTTCTTCTTCTATCTTAGATATAGAGGTGTTTATGGTTCAATTTGGGTAAAATGATAAAATCAATTTGTATGAAGAGATCTCTGTCTATACCTACCTCATTGTATATATTGACAGAAACCAAAACTTAAAACTATTGAGTCTAAATGTGTACTATCTGTGCTGCTTATAAAATTCTCTTTTTAAAATTCAAAGTTATGGTCTTGCCACAATTCCCTTGCATTGGGTTATTTATAAAAGGTTAAAACTAGAATTGTAGGGGGCTCTCAAGAAATGAGAACTCCTCCAAAAATTGGTGTATGCCACTAAATGCAATGCACACACGGTATTCTTTAGTAAAAGGCGAAAGAATAGTTCACTTTGTGCTCACTGCGTGGGTTTAGCTTCTGTATTAGTGATGCATTTTATATTGTACATTAAGTTTGGATTCACCTTCTATTACCAATGTGGTACTTTACCTATGAAAGGGAAGAATAATAAAAAATAATAATTTCAAATCTAACACAAGTTATAAAATATTAATACTAATTTTTAGGGGTTAAGATTATGTTGTACATTTTGAATTTTGCAAAGACCGCAACGACATACAACTACATAATCAATGTAATCTACAAAAAACAAAAAAAACTTTATGTGTAACAGTAAAATTAATAAAGAGTGAATGCGATAAAATCGATATCTCCGTCATTTTGTTCAAGATTATAAATTCTCTTGTGCTGCCGTTACAAAGATTCTTATATGCATGACTTTTTTCATGACAAAAGGACAACAAAATCTAGTCTCCATCAAGTTAACAAAGATGCCCCAAGGCATTTGTCTTGTGCTCTCATCCGCGGACTTCTCGTGGACAGTCAACGTTGACATGAAACATAAATTTTAGAGATGTCTAGATGATTATTTGGTAAGCTAGAGTGTTCATCGACTTACACAATAAAGACGAGTTAACGTGTATAGATGTGCATATACGTAATCAATCAGAGTGTTTACTTACTAGAGAACAAATTTGAGTGCCTTGTTTATGTCATATAGCCAAAAATAACCCCAACACAAATTCAACTGTTGTTGTTACCTTGTTAGATAAAAACCAAGCATCTTCAATAAAACAAGTTAAAAATTCTCTTGGGAGATCACGAATTAACCATTAATAATTTATCCATACACCAATATTTGTCACACTATAAATAGTTCTATTTTTTAACCCTTTCTTCACCCCTTCACCAACATAACTTATACCACTACACAGAACGTCTAACGATCTTATAATAACACTCACCAAACACAACTCAAACAAAGACGTAAAAAAATGAAGATGAACACTAGTCCAAAAGTTTCCATTCTCATCATCCTCACACTAATTTCATGTGCCATAGCACAACCTTCGTCGTGCAACCCTAGTGGGAAGATTGAAGGCATAAAACCACCACCAGGGAAATGCAAAATAGGCTATCAATCAGAATGTTGCAAGCCTGGAAAGTCGTACACAACTTACAAGTGCTCGCCTTCCATTTCAGGCAAGACGAAAGCAGTTCTAACTATCAACAGTTTCCAAAAAGGCGGTGATGGTGGTGGAAAATCCGAATGTGACAACAAGTACCATTCAGATAACACACCGGTGGTTGCACTCTCAACAGGTTGGTTCAGTGGCGAAAAGAGGTGTATGCAGAACATAACAATTTATGGGAACGGTAGGAAAACGAATGCTATGGTTGTCGATGAGTGTGATTCCACAATGGGATGTGACCATGTTCATGACTATCAACCACCCTGTGCTAACAACATTGTTGATGCGTCCAAAGCTGTTTGGAAGGCATTAGGAGTACCTAAGAAGCAATGGGGAGAACTTGATATATTCTGGTCTGATTAATGAACATGATGTACATATGAATAAGGCATAATACATAAATATGTCATTTAACTTGGCTTCGAATCACATTTATGTCCTTCAACTTTTGGTCTGCATAAGTAGACACTTGAACTTGTATAATGTTGAACAAATAAACACACGTGTCCTACATGTCATTTTTCGTCTTAGGTGGTGTCGTACGTGTATTTTTCCATGTAGGACTTATGTGTTTATTTATTTAAAAGTTGGATAGTTAAAGTGTCTGTTTATGCATTATAAAAGTTGAAGGTCAAAGTTAAAATTTGAAGTCAAGTTTAGGGTACAATATATGTATTATGCCTATGAATAAAGGTTATATAACTAAGTATATAAAAGTCCGTACCCTGATGTGGATCTAGTTATGAGACGTTGTAAGATGAAATCAGATGTTTTCCTCTTACGACTTGTAATGTTGATTTGTTAAGAGAGACCATTCAATCTCTCGAGTCAAAGTACTCAATAATTGAATGACTTTAAATGCAATATTTGTGGATTAACGCCAACCACCTAATAACAAGAAAAAAACTTCCTACTACTACTGAAATGAGAAGGTCGAGAGGATGCTAATTGTGAACACCTAATTTTTTATCAAAATATAAAGATTTCACATCAATTTTTAAAAAAATTATATTTAAAATAAATAAAAATAAATAAATTGTGTAAATTACTTTAATAATAAAAAATTATGAATTTATGGTATTTGTTTTAAATCTTCAACTTTTAATTAGTTTAAAAATAATGGTCGAAGAAAAAAAAGGAGTCCTAAATATTCAAATTACCTTCCCCTTATCCTAATTATTCCCAACTTCCTAACTTATTTTGCTAAAAAAACCTCATCCCATTTATTTATTTTTTAATTTTTTCTCTCTCTCTCTTTGGACGAATCTTTTGAAATTTTACAATTTTTTTTCTTAATTTTCTATTATTATTATACATTTATTTTATATCCTTATCTCAACCCCAATTCCCTCAACAATATTTCAAATTAAATCCTAATCCCACTCTATTACGTTCCTTTTAATTAGCACCAGACTCTCAGTCAAAATTATTATAAAAAACACGTACAGTTGAAAAAAGAGACAGAGGAAAAGAGAGAAATACGAGAGAAATATAGAGAGACACAGAGATAAAGAGCAAACACAAAGAGAAGAAAAGTGAGTTATTCTTTTGAGAATTAGGTTAGAGTTAGAGATTTTGTCGTGGTTTTAAATTCGTGGCTCAAATCAGTAGATCGTAGCAGTTGTTTTTCGTGATATCCATTTTCGCAGCGAGGTAACTCTAAATTCTCGCATTATTTAAATGTAATGTTATATGAAAATTTGAATCTAATAATATGAAGTTATGTTATTATTATGTAATATAAATCCGTGATGCATGTTATGATTTTTTTTTGATATGAAAACGGAACAAAAAGAAAATGTTTCTTGCTAACAAAAAAATAATATAAAATAAAAGATGCATCATACATTTTTTTTGCATTGTTGTTAGTTCTGTTATTTTTTAGATGCAATTTATATTAAAATTTATTTTGTGATATTTAATAGCTAATGTTTCTTGGATCCTAGTTTTCACTTAAGAATTTTTTTTAAAAAAAATAATATTTATAAATTTATGGAATTAGAAAATAAATTAAAGCTTAAGTGATTAGCAATTTGAAAAAGCTAAACAAAACATTTTCATATATTATTTCAATAAATAAAATGGTTTTCCTCTGGAATAAACGTAAGATGATCATCACTAATTCATATTATTATGAAATATATTTAGAAGGATATATAATATTATTTAGAAAATTATGGTAAAAAAAATTAGACAAATTATTGAAAAGATTAATAAAAAAAAGCATAAAAGAAAAGAACAACGAAAATAATAATAATAAATAACAATAATAATAATAATAATGAAACAAAAGATTAAAAAAAAAACATAACCAAAAAAAACTAGAAAACAGAAAGAGAATGTAAAAAGAAAAAAGAGAGAAAGAATCAGAGTAAAAAATAAATAAATAGAAAAACGTAAAAATATAAAAAAAATTAAAAGCAAACAAAAAATATACAAAAAAAAAACAAAAATGCGTGAAAAAAAAAGAAGAAGAAAAAAACGTGAAATGAAAAAAAGGAGGAGGAGAAAGAAGTAGAATGAAAAAAATAATAATATAAAACTAATATAACACAAGGTAGAAATTAAATAAAATTAAAAAAACGTAAAAAGAACAAAGAAGTTACAAAAAATTATTTTTTAAGAAAAAGGAGAAAAAGACAAAATCTATAAAATAATAATAAAATAAAAATAATGATAAAAAATGTTTTTCATGAAAAATGTTTTCCTAGTAAATGTTTTCCGGGAAAACGAGTAGATTTTGAACTTATTTTCTCATGTTTGGTTGGTGCGTAGAAAATATTTTCCGGAAATGATTTTTAGTGTTTAATTTGTGAATGAAAAATGTTTTTGAGGAACATCTTTTATTTTTACTAGAATAGAAAATAATTTATGAAATTGAAAATATTTTTTAAAAATATTTTTTTTTGGGTGGTAGTGGTGGGGGTGTGGGGGGATAGTGGGGGTGGGGGCAGGGGGAGGGGCTAGGAGTGAAAAATAAAAATTTGAAGTTGATAGTATTTTCAAAAAGCAAAATTAATTTTTTTGGGGGTTGGGGGGGGGGGGGGGGCAGGGGGGCTGGCCAGGGGTAGGTAGGAGTTTAAAAATAAAAATTTGAAGTTGAAAATTTTTTTAAAAAGTAAAATTAATTTTTTGGGGAGGGGGGTTGGCGGGAGGGTGGTCAGGGATCGGGTGAAAAAATAAAATTTTGAAATTGAAAATATTTTTTTTAAATGATATTTTTTCCAAAAAAAAAGTAATTTGAAATTGGAGGAGAGCTTTGGAAAATGTTTTCCTTAATTTTTGAAGGAAAGTCATTTTCCTTAATTTTGAGGAAAATGAGATGATTTGGAAAATATTTTCCAAAACTTTTGCCCCAACCAAACATAAGAAAATTGGAAAACATTTTCCAGAAAATGTTTTCCTTCATACCAAACACACTCTAAAAAAAAGAAAGGAAAAACTTTGTTTCATTAAAAAAAAAAAACATTTCTAATCTATTTAGGATTTCTTGATAAAAACTAACTTCAAATTTTATAAAATTTATTTATTTTTTTTATTTTTTTATCGAATAAATAAATAAATATATGTTTCTAAATTATTTTGAACTCAAAAATCTCTTTTCCACACGAATTCTAATTTTTTAAAAAAATTCTATAATAACA